CCCCAGAGACCCCTGAACCAGCCCCCAGGGACCCCCAAAAACAGCCCCCAGAGACCCCTGAACCAGCCCCCAGGAACCCCCTGGCACTGGGGTTTAGTGAGCTCGTGTTCACTCCATTCTCTGATGCTTCCCGGGATTTATAGCAGGATTTCTGGTAGTTTGATTCAGGGAGGAGGGTGGAATTTTGAGAAAAGCGAGAGCAGGAGGGAATGTGGGTCTTGCTCTTGCTCGGCCCCCAAAATTTGTTGGTGCCTGCTTCCCTCCCGCCCCGAACCCTCGCGGTCTCATCCCTTCCCTGGGGTCTGGATAGGACATGGAGCGTGCTCTGGCTGTCACAGCCATGGGTGGGTACACGCGTGGGACACGGACAATCCCTTGGGCACCCTCCCCTCTCCCCCTGCTCTGTAAAAGCCTGAGTTCCCTCCCGGCTCCGAGGGCTCCGTGCGGGAGCCCCGGGATGCCGTGCCGCGCTCACCGGTGCTGCAGCAGATGCCGGGAGCGGCGCAGCTCCCTCCGGAGCCGCAGGCTTTGTGTCCCGACTCGCAGGGGGTGGGCAGGAAGTTTTCCTCCTGGCAGCGCAGCGTTTCCGAGGTGCCGATGTAGCAGCCCAGCTCCTCCCCGCAGCAGATGTTGGGCCCGAAGCAGTGACCCTTGTTCCGGGGACCGCAGGGCAGGCACTGCTCGGGAGAACAGGGGGGAAGAAGGTTGGGAGAAGGGAAGGATGGGGTTCGGAGTGCTCCGAGCCCTCCAGGACCCACCTTCCTGATGTCCATGTCCAGCACAGCGCGTTTGCCCCCGATGGGGCAGTTCTGGATGTAGCAAGCGGAGGAGAGAGCCAGGAGCCCCAGGAGGCAGAGGGCCAGAGCCTTGCAGGACATAGCGGCGGGACGGGGGATTTTTGGCTGCTCATCCCAACCGCTGGACCTGTTTTTATAGTCCTGGTTCCTGCTTAGGGATTCTGGCACCGGCGTCACCCGTGTTCCTTAAAAACCACAAGGCATTGCTTCCCACAGCAGAGGGCTCGGCTAATAGCCAGAGGTCGAGGACGTGAGGTCAAGGACAAGGTGTTGGTTTTCTCCTCCGTGATGAGTCCGGCGGTGACGGGGACGTGTGGAGGTTGTGGATGGAGCAGGATGAACGTGTGGAGGTCGTGGATGGAGCAGGATGAACGTGTGGAGGTTGTGGATGGAGCAGGATGAACGTGTGGAGGTCGTGGATGGAGTCTGGGGCTTGGGGCCCCTCTCCACTGGCCACTTGAGGCTGCTGAGGTGTGGTGTGTCCCGTTGGGAACCCCTCTGGCATGGAGAGGGTAGGGATGAAGGAAGGCAGCTGCAAGTGGGATGTGTCCACCCAGGAGCAGGATGAGAGGGGTGTGTGCTTCCCTTGGCTTCAAATCCCTCTGGGTGGGAGGAAGCAATGCCCTATCCTCTGGGATCATCCATGGGATCTGGGGTGGGGAATGTTGGCCCTGTCCACCCCTCTGTGCCTGGCCTTTGGGGCTCAGCACTGGGCTCATCCCGCTCTGGGATGATGATGACACCCGTCCACCCACCCGTGTTCATCTGACAGCCGCATGAGAACACCAAACCTCCTGGGAAAAAGCCTAAAATCCCAAATTTCCCCACTGCTTCTCCTTGGAGGTGCACACAGGGATTGAATGTGGTGTCCTGAGCCACATCACCAGCAGACAAAACACCCCTCCTCCCCGAGAAGCAGCGCCGAGGATGAGGCCGAAGGCTGACGCAACCGCCCAGGTTCCTGCTCACCCCAGCCCTTTGCTTTCCTTATCCCAATTAGGAGCTCCCCAGCTTGAATAAATTTCCCTGCTGAAGACAAAACTTGACGTCCACTGAGATCATTACCCTGCACTGGCATAATTGGGAATTAGGCAGCCCAGAGCCGGACAGCCGTGACCTTTTCCTGTCCCTCTGGCTTGCTTCGAAATCCGCCAATTAGCACGAGGGCAGCCAGGTCCCTGTCACCCACCCGGGGTCAGTCCCAGTCCCTGGACACGAGGCAGGCACTGGGATCCATGGGAATGGGGTGGAAATGGGGCTCAGCACCTGCTGTGTGCTGTCCCAGCAGCTCAGCTCTGCCTGCAGCACAGGGTGGAGAGAGGGAATTGTCACCCCAGAGCCCTGCAGGATGTGTCTCAGACAGACAAGTGGGGAGGAAACCTGGTTAGCAGTCCCTGCTGCTTTTTGGGGACTCGATTTTTGCCTGATTTTGAGGTGTTCATCAGATGGAGCATTCCCAGCTCAGCCACAAACAGCCTCAGCCGCAGGAATGTTGGGGGTTCACATCCTGCATTTTGGAAAAGTCCGAGTGCTAGAGCTGGGCTGAAAGCCCAATTCCCCTATCCCAGTTTGGAGTCCCCCACCCCATGCTGGTGTCACCCTTTTCCCAATGATTTTGGGGTGCTTTGGGGTCGGACCCCTCCCCAGGGCTGGGATAAGGGGCTGGCTGTGGGAAGCAGACCCTGGATCAATCCTGCATCCCCTGCGGGGTGCGGGGAGCTGCAGGATGGATCCTGCCGGTATCAGGGAGCTCCACCTCCCCGGAGGTGCCACCTCCCTCAGGGACAGTATAAAGGACGAGCTGTCCCCTGTGCTGTGGCCAGTCCCAGCCCGGAGAGACTTGGAGCAAGGACCCTGCCGGGTAAGAGAGCTGGGAGAGGGCTGGGATGACGGTACCCCAAATTTCGGGGGGTGGCTGTGGGATAACGGGCACTGATCCTCCCTGTCCGTGTCCAGAGGGGATGGGGAAAGATGAGCCCTGGAGGGGGTCTTTGGAGGTGGGACTCCAAACCTCTCTGCTCTTCAGGGGTTTTGGCTGCTTTTCCTTACTTTTTATCATTTTTAGTAGATGCTGTGCTGATTCCTGAAGGCAGCGAGGCCCCGAATCTGCCCCAAAGAGGGGCTCGGCCACGAGGTAACGTGATGGTGGCACATCCCAGCTGTCCCCACTCTCCTGGGGGTGCTGCTGGGGCTCCTGGGTGGGACTCGATGGCCAGATCCCAAATCCCAGCTCTGCCTGAGCTCCTTCCCCTGGGAGCCACAAGGATGGGGCCAAACCCAGCCAAACCTCCGTGGGGATTTGGGAACAGGAGACCCTCCAACACCCCCACCCTGAGCCCCTGGAGCCCCCACGAGCCATCCCCAGTGCCCAGGACGAGGCCACCACAGTGCACGAGGACTTTTATTGGGTCTCGTATGTACAGAGCCGGGCTGGGGGCGTGGGGCAGGGCAGGGGGGAGTCCCCACGGGCTGGCTCAGAGCAGGGGGTGCTTGCCCTGCTGCTGCTGCCGGTTTGCCAAGTGCATGAGCTTGAGGAGCAGATCTCCGGCCGAGCCATCCAGCACCGTCAGGTTCTTCTCCTCCGCCGCCTCCTGAGCGCCGTCGCTGCCATCGTCCAGGCAGGCGGTGTCCATGGCGCACGTCTCTGCCGCAGGGAGCAAAAGGCGGCGATGGAACAGGTTATTTGGGATCATCAGGGGCTTGTTTGCGGCTGGGGAAGGGGTTGGTGGCAGTCAGGGGGCCCCGCACTGTTCGTGCTCCGGTTTTGTCTCTGCCCTTAAGCGGGGAGCGGGGCTGGATTTTCTGGCACTTCAGGGAGGTTGTGCTGGCCAGGAAAAAACTCATGGTGGGTCAGGAAGGAACCCCGAGCCCAGTCCTTTAGAATCAGAATGGTTTGGGTGGGAAGGGACCTTCAAAGACCGTCTCGTCCCACCTCTGCCCCGGGCAGGGACAACTTCCACTGTCCCAAGATTGCTCCGAGCCCCGTCCAACCCGGTCTTGGGCACTTCCAGGGATCCGGGGGCAGCCACAGCTTCTCTGGGCACCCTGTGCCAGGGCGTCCCCACCCTCACAGGAAACAATTCCTTCCAGTCAGCCTGAATCCAACCATCCCCAAACCATCTCCGAATGGCGCCAACACCGCTTCCACTCCGTGCCTCAGTTTCCCCCCGCTATGACCAAACCACACCACCATAGAAGCGTTACCTGAAGAGTTCTTCCCCTCGCCACCCCCCCCATGCTCCCCACCCACCCCAAGCTCCCCGTGGCACGGTGTCCGTGGCCCGGTTACCGGCGGTGCAGCAGATGCCGGGCGCGGCGCAGCGGCCCCCGGCTCCGCAGGGCTGCCCGCCGGCCTGGCAGGGGGAGGGCAGGTAATCCTCCTCGGAGCAGCGCCGTGTCTCCGCCGTGCCCAGGTAGCAGCCCAGCTCCGCTCCGCAGCAGATGCCGGGCCCGAAGCAGTTCCCTCTGTTGCCGGGGCCGCAGGGCATGCACTGCGGGGAGGAGCTGCCTCAGTGCCCGCACCCCAAAAATCCCTTCCGCACCCCCTGGTAATAGAAACCCCTACGCAAATGTCCCGCTGTGTATGGAAAGCAGCTCCCCACCAGCCCCTCTTCCAGCTCCTGGAGGTGCCGCACAGCAGCGGTGACCTTGTGTCCCCTCTTTGGGGTGTCCCCACCGTGACCTCGCTGTCCCCTCTCCATGCTGTGTCCTGTCCCGCTCCCCCCCAGCCCCGCAGGACGCTCTGCTGCGGCCAAGCCCGAGCCTCTCCTCGAGGTGCCAGCAGCACTTTTGGAGCGGTCACTGTTCCACCACTGCTCCATCACCCGCCCTTGGCCGTGTCCCCCAAAATCCCCAAAAAATCCGCAGTGCTGCGGGGAGCGTGGCACAGCCCTCGGTAGCCGCAGGTGTCGGGGAGCAGAGCACCCCAGCTAGCCCCTCCCGCAGCTCCGAGCCGTGGCCCGGAGCGCCCATCCCGTACCTGTCTCAGGGCTGTGTCGGCCAGAGCCCGCTTGCCGCCCCGGGGGCAGTTCTGGATGTAGCAGGCGGAGGACAAGGCGAGGAGGCAGAGGAAGGAGAGGGGCAGCGAAGGCTCTGCCATGGTGCAGGGTGCCCGAGGCCGTGCCAGGGGAAGCTGCTCCAGCTGCGTCTGGCCCCGTGCTGAGAGAGCTGCTATTTATGCTGCCATCACCCCTTCCCAGGGGAGGAGGAGGAGGAAGAAGAGGGATGGGTTTGGTTTTTTTGTTGTTTTTCCTTTTTTCTTTTTTTTTTTTCCCCAAATCGCATCCAAGCAAATCTGTAATTGAGATGATTCAGTGCGGCAGCACTCAGGGCTGGTGAATCCCACCCTTGGCTGCTCCGAGGGGCACGGCTCGGCCCGGGGATGTGCTTGGGAAGGGGCTCTGGATGGGCTGGGGGGTGGATTCAGGGAGAGGCGCTCCAGAAGGTGCTGGTTTGGGGAGGTTTGTGGGTTTGGAAGATGCTGGCTGGGGAGGGATATGGGTTCGGTGACAGATGTTCATTCAGGAGATGTGGTTTTGGGAAGGATGCAGGTTTTGGGAAGGGTGCTGGCTTGGGGGGTGATGCTGGCTTGGGATGGATGTGGATTTTGGGAGAGGTGCTGGTTTCAGAGGGGTGCTGGTCTGGGAGCAACGCTAATTTTGGGAGGGATAAGGGTTTGGAAGGTGCTGCTTTAGAGAAGGTTGTTTATTTGGAGGATTCTGATTTGGGATTGATGCTGGTTTGGAAAGGGTGCAGATTTTGGGAGATGGTTTTGGGAAGGGATGCTGGTCCAAAGGGATGCTGGTTTGGGAAGTGGTGTTTGTTTGGAGCATGCTGGTCCAGGAGGGATGCTGCTTTGAGGAGGGATGCTGATTTGGGGATGCTGGTTTAGGCGAGGGATGCTGATTTGGGGATGCTGACTTGACTGATGCTGCTCTGGGACAGGATATTGGAGGGGAGTGATGGGGTTGGGGCTGGGAGAGAACCTCGGGCGCACAAAACCACCCCAAAACTCAGGGGCTGGGCTGCAGCACCGGGGTTCAGGACAGGACCCTGTCCCCAGAGTGATCCATCAGTCCCACCCACAGCTCTCCTGCCTCTTCCCCCTCTTCTCCAACAAACCAGAAGGCACAAAAACCAGCAGGAGAGGGGGAGACCAAAAGAAAAGGCACCTTTGGGCTTGGCACCAGCACACTCGTGTCACCCATGGGCTGTCAAAAGCATCCACACGGGAAAAACACCACCAGGAACTCCCAGCCACGAATATTCCTGTTCCCAGATCCCTTTTCCAGCTACACCGAGGGCAACCTCAGCAACGTGAAATTAATATGCAGAGAGGAATCCGGTGCCTGTGAGTATCCACCCTCTCCTTCTCCCCCTAAAAAATGCTGGGACTGTCTCACAGTGATCAGGAGAGGTTTGTCTGGGGGGCTGGGAGGGGGATGGAAAATGTGGGGTTGCTGCCAGCTGTGGTTCCGCCTCTGGACTGGCTTTATCCTTTATTCATCTTCACATAAGATGGGGAATTGAGGCAGAGAACCATAAAAATCAGCCTGGACATCACTTGGGGTGGTTAACATGGTTTTCCCCTACCCCTCATTAGTTTCCCTCATTTTCTCCCCCTCATTAACATCCCTTTTTCTGCTGGACAAACACCCCAGCCCCGGTTAGAGGGGAATTCCACCCTGGGTGGGGAAGGGGCTGCTCTGCTCGAGCATCCCAAAGGAATCCCACTGCAATTCTCCCTGGAAAACCTTAGTGTTTGTTTCAGAGTGCTTTGAAAAGCTCCACAGGAAGCAGGGAGCAATGCTGGAGTGGGGCAGAGCATGGCTTTGCCCCCCCCAGGGAAACTGAGGCACGCAGGGAAGCATTTTATGGATCAGTGCTGGGGGGTCCCAGCCTGCTCCCAGCTCCTGCCGTGTGATTTTGGAGCATGGACCAACCCGGGGGTGACAGACCTGGGCTTTGGGGCTTCTGCTGGGTAAAATGAGGGCGATTTCCTCCCCTCACGGGGGGCTGAAGGTGGCCACAGCCCCTGACTCAGCTCTCCCTGGGACCGAGGGAGCGGCGAGTTCCCAGATTTGCCCCGTGACGCTGAATCACCCCCGTGGGGCAGCCGTGGGGGATTTAATGACCGCTATCATTAGCACCAGCCTCCATTCCCCATCCAAACCCATCCCTGCACAGCGGGAGCCCAAACCCACTTGCGTTGCAGGGCCGAGGAGGACGCAAAAGCCCTCGGCTGGGAAAACTTTTCTTTACAAGAACCCCAAATGTCAGCTCTAAATTGGGTGTTACGCGCTCGTGCTCCGTCTCTTCATTACTGTATCGTAAAATTACATTAGGCAGGAACGATCTGCATTCAAATGACTCTGTGTCTGGAATGATAACGCAGGAATATGAGATTAAAATGTAATTATGCTCTTTAAAGTCAAGGAAGGTTAATAAAATGTTTTTCCAAGTTGCAGAGGCTCCGCAGCCGCAACGCAGAATCACTTACGGGAATCAAAGGGAGGATGAGGTGGGAACGGGGAGGGGAAAATGGGTAGAAAACACAAAAGGGGGTTTTGGGGAGGGAAATATTGGGGTCACCTGGGGTGATAAGTGATCCCAGGGGAATGGGATTCCCAGGGGTGGGCAGAGTCAGCCCTGCTGGGCTGTGATGCTCCCTGGTACCCGGGGTACCCATCCCACATCCTGCTCCCGACCCAGAGTCCTGCCCCAAATCCTCCAGCAGCAGCCCCAGGGTCCCTTCTCTGTGTATCCAGCACCGAATTTGCTCTGCCAGGTCCCTGCCCTTCCCCAGGCCCTTCCCCGGAGGATGCCCCTTGGTTAGTGCTGATCTAACAACACTCCAGGGTGTGGCCGTGCCCCGCCATCCATCAGCGCTGCTGTCCCTGTCCCAGCTCCCTTCGGGAATGAGGGAAATCCCAAAGGCTTCACCTGCGCTGGGAATGGGGCAGCGCCCCCAAATCTGCCCCCTTGCTCAGCCAAAATGCGGCCCCAGCTCTTGCAGACACCAGCAAAGGGGCTGGGGCTGCCAGAGGGGCTCAGCCATGGAGAACATGGAATCTTTGAGGTTGGAAAAGCTCTCCAAGATCACCGAGTCCAACAGTTCCCCCAGCACTGCCAAGGCCACCAACAATCCGTGTCCCCAAGTGCCACATCCACACAGATTTTAAATCCCTCCAGGAGTGGGGACTCCAGCACTGCCCTGGACAACTGTTCCAGGGCTGGAAAACCTTTCCATGAAAAAATCTTCCCAAATACCCAATCTGAACCTCCCCCTTCCTTCATTAACAGCGGGAGCTTCGTTAGCTCTGGAGCCCCCACGGAGGTTTGTGAGAGCCCTTCTGGAGGCAGGGGAAGGGATGGAGGTGATGGAGCTTGGCTGCAGCACACAGAGCTCCCAGTGCCAAAGTTCAGCTGGGATAGATGAGAGTGGCAACATCCAAACCAGATCCAGCACAGGATGTTGGAAAATGGGATGAATGTCACTGATCTGTGCATTTCCTGCCTTTGCTGAGGTTGGAGGGGGACGCAGCAGGGAAGGAGAAACTTCTGGAAGGTGTCACATGGAGAGGGTCAGGCTGGCGAGGGAGAGCTCCCTGCTCCTGCCTGGGAGCTCTGATGCTCCTCAAATGGATCTGTCACTGTCACCGTGACCCCGTGGCTGACGGGGGGTTAATGGCTGGGGGAGGGGGATCCTGCACCTCCTCCCCTCCCTTCAGGGATAAAGATGCTCCTCTGCTTCCCTGACAGCTGGAAAACAGCTTTGATGCCTCTTTAAAGGCAGCACAGCCAACGTCAAGATTGGCTGGGGCACTGCTTTGATCATTTCCATGGCCAAATCCATCCTGCTGGGATGTGGATGTCACGCAGGGAGGTCACTGACCAACAAGGGATGGATTTGTCAAAAAAATGCTTGAATTAGAGGAAATTGCTCAGGCTGCAATCAATTCCATTCCCCAGCTCCCAGGGAGAAGACAGGCTTGGTGCTGGGAGTAAACATGCTCCATGTGGGAGCTGAAGAGGGATTGCAGGCAGAGGAAGCCATGGCTCTGTGTCACCACCACCCTGGGGTGCAGAGAGGGGCCCTGCTGCCCACAGGGCTTTCAGTGCCCTGGGATAGGGGGACTCACACCCAGCTGGGGCAGGTGGTCCTTCCCTGAGCTCCAAGACGTGGGTGCAGAGGGAAACTCATCCCTGGATCCCCTGCAAGAGGAGACACAGCAGGTGAGATGTGCTGCCAAGGCTCCCGGAGGGTTAAGGAGGAGAAATTGGGGGATGAAGGCTCTGAGAAGCTGCTGTGAGGTGGAGATGAGCAGGGAGGAGCTCCGTTGAGACCTGATGTCCCAACACCGCCCCTTCCTTCCAACCTCTGCTCCCTGTGGCCTCTGCTCCTCCCTGCAGAACAAAGGGAACCTGGAGATAATTTGGGAGACGGCTCCCACCTGGATCCCTGCCCACTGACACAACACCACAAGGAACTTTTGGGCACTGGAGAAGCTTGTCAGAACCAAACTTGGAAGCATCCAAGCTTTGCTAGCTCTGGAGAAGGTGATGGCTCTGGGGATCCAGAGGCAGCCATCCATCCATCCCCCCTTCCCTGGGGGAGGTGTGAGAGCTGAATCACCCCGGGATGGCTCACTGCAAACACGACACCACCACTGCAATGGACTGCATTTACTGCCTGCAAATCGTGGGGTTTTTAGGAATTCTGTGCCTATTTTCTAAGTGTTTATTATTTTAAGACGTGTGATTTTCTATTTTTGCTGGGAATGGAGACGGGCTGTAAACTCCTGCTGACGCAGGCAGGGAGCAGGATCAGCGTGGGGCCGGCACAAAGCTGTGATCCACTGGATGAGCAGGAGCACAGCGCTGCTCAGGTGCCTTGAGAGCAAACACAGATGTGACCAAGGTGAGCTGAGTCAGGTTCGTTATGGCCCCGAACATCAATTAAGTGGCAGCAGCAGGGGGCTGTAGGGGTGACAAACCCTTTGATGTCACCCCGGCATATCCAGGATGGAACATATCCAAGTCATTTTTTGTCTGGCTTTTTTCTGAGCAGCTCTCTGAAGCCCCCTGGGTGCAGATGTC